TATGACATTTTCCTCTTGAGATTTTTCAAAAACATTATCATTATCACTCAATTCATTCTCGCTATCCCATTTTGATCTTGGAAAAGATGGTACGTCGATGGAAGTCCTTATGGTTATTGATTTGGATGGATCCATAGTTTTATACCAAAGTCTTTCGTGATGACCTTCTTCACGCTCCGATGTTATTATTCTGTAATTTTAATTTATTGAAAAAATACGTTAAAAAACATTAAACTATATGTTTTAAATTTAAAGTTTTAAGGTTAAATTTACACGATTTATTATAAAAATTCTTTCATAACTAATAAACAAAAATTTCTAATAATCAAAAGTTTTAATTTTTAAATATTACAGTTTTTCATAAACAAAACAATGTATTAAAATTATTTTATGTTTTACAATAATAAACTGTAAATAGTTTTTTCTGCACAGCCATATAGATATTAATGTTATGCATTGTATATAATGAGCGATGGAGGATAACAGGTAGAACAAATAACGCAATGTATGTATTATGTACATCAATAACTTTTTAAATATCTAATAAAACTATTTATAGAAGATTTAATAAATAAAAAGATAAATTCATACGGAATACTCACCTTATTTGTGTTGCTTCACAGATGTCTTCCATTTTCTCACGTCTATTAGGTGAGACGATTCTTAACATTTGTTGACGATCAAAATATATTGGGTGCCTTGGATTTTCACAATACAATATCAAAGGCTTATTCTTTGTAGCTTTTATTATCTCTGGTGGATATTCTTTAGGCCCATTTTGACCTTCAGCAAGAAAAGCATAACGATGCATTCGAATATCAGACAGCATTAATATTTGTTCAAGATATTGATTATAATCCTGTGCAGATCTACGAATAGAATATAGAATTATTTCAATAGTTATATATTATCTTAATTACAAACTGCACAATTCCTTATGTCAAAAAAATTGTATTAAATACAAAAGGAAAAGAATATTAATGAAAATAGGATAGAAAACTTTGACAAACCTGGGTTTATTAATTTTATCACCATTGTCATTACGCTTAATATATCCTACATCGTCTATAAAAAATCCATATTTTCGAAAATCTTTCCAAGAACGACATTTTAATAATTCTTTTTCTCTTATTTCTCTCAGTTTATCTTTCTCTCTTTCTCGCTCTCTGTGTGCTTTCATCCTTGGTTCTTCCCGTTTTTCTTTCACATCCATTCTTTCTAATTTTTTATCTCTCGAATTTGCTCGTTTACACGTTACATCATCTCTCTTTATTTTAATTTCATCGCGATCGTCATCCCGCTTCGTATCAATTTTAGGCTCATCCCGTTTATTGGTTTCTACCTTAAAGTCTTCTTTTTTTGATTTATCCAATTTGACTTCTTCTTTTTTTCCAACATCAATTTTCAAATCCTTTCTCGGCTTATCCAACTTTATTTCATCTTTTTTATCTACGTCTAATTTTAAGTCATTTCGCTTATTCTGATCAAATTTTTGATCATCTTTGTTGTTTCCGTCAGATTTATCCTCCTTTCTGGTAATTTCTACTTTTTCTATTTTATCAATTTTTATTTCTTCAATTTTCTTAACTTCAGCCATTTTAGGTTCTTCCTTAGCTTCTTCTTTACATTCTTCATTTTCTAACTCGTTTTGTTTAATATCGTTAACTCCTCCTTTACTATTTTCAGATTTAGAATTCTCTTTTTTGGTATCATCATCTAGTTTTGGATCTTCCTTTTTATCTTTATTTTCAAATTTTATATCCTCATTCTTAAAAGATTCGGACTTTAAATCTTGTTTAACATTATCCGTTTTTTTATCATCTTCCTTTGCTTCTTCTGTTTTCATATCTTGCTTTTTACTCTTATCAGATGATTTAGACTCCTCTTCCTTGTGCCTTGATTCTTCTCGTTTATACTTTGAGTCATCTTTTCTGTCCTTTCTTTCTCTTTTGTCCGTTTTATCATTTTTATCTTTATATTTACTCTTACTATAACGTTCATCTTCTTGGGATGATTTACGATTGGACCGTTGTCTTGATCTACTGCGAGATTTTCTATCTCGACTATGTCTTCTTTCCCTTCAAAAATTATAAACAAAGCGAATGTAAATAATAGCAAAATGAATAAAATGAGGTTTCCAAATTTTTTATACCTGTCACTCTTTCTCCTATATGACGACGATCCTGATCTTCTTGAATAACGTTCTTCGCTTTTCCTTTCTCTACTGGAATCTCTAGCTCTTTTATCGTGTAATGCATTTCTTATGTTAATATCTCTCATTTCTGAAATTTAAAAATTGTTAAAATATTTTTAATCCAAACTATGAATAATGATTAATTTTAAGTAAAATAATCTTTATACCTTGAGCAGCCAATCTATTTTTATTTTCTTCTCTCACTATTTCTTCTATTGCCAAAATTTTTTCTTGCCCTAAAAAATAATGATTATAGAATATTTGTTTAACAAAGAAATATAGAAAATTTTTTGAAATTTAATATTAAACAAAATTAACGCTCAACTTACTTTTAACTCTATCACCTTTCATTTTTAATTTATGTACTTTTGGCATTGGATTAAATTTATTTGCAAAAGCCATTAATCTCTTTTTAGCTTGAATTTTTCCAAGTACAGGTTTCCATATTTTTGGACTTTCAATTTTTACAGAATCACTACTAACTTCTCCTTTGGAACTATCGGGTGTAGCAGGTGTTTCAATATCCTCTAACTTAACCAGATCCATTGGGAATGGATCTTTGACTTCTAAAGGTTCCATTTTCGGTAAAGGTACCGAATCACCTATGTCACTGGCATCTTCACAAGATAAGATTTAATACGCCATTTTTAAATTTTCTTATAATTACTTTAAACACATAAAAAATCATCTTACATTAAATAATTTAGTTTCAAAATTAATAAATAAAATTGATATAATCATAATCTACTGTTATCACAGTTATTCTAATTAAGAATAAGTTATGATTATGAAAAGAACATTGTAGTTGATAATAGGTTAGATGTTTAAAAATATAAATTTATCTTATGATTATAATTAATTCAAATGATCAATGAAGAGTTCTTTAATGTAAGCTTTCCTTAAAAAATATTTATAATAAAATAATTATTTAATTAACAATCATTAATATATATATATATATATAAAATTTTTAAAATATAAATCAAATAAGATAATCTTTTTATGATAAAACTTTGGTTTTAATATGGAGGAGCCATTAAAATTTACAAACAATTGTAAGTTTGGAAAGAAATGAACCTTTAGTGATTTTGAATTTATTTCTTAGTAATTAAGTTAATTAAGATCCTGTTGGATAAATTTTAATTCAATTTACTATATTAGTATAATGACCAAAATATACATTTTAAAGTTTATAACAATTAAATGTATTTATATCGATGAAAAGGTTAAATCTATATATTTCTGAATAAATTAACTCACCTTGCATTTTAATATTATTTTATATATTCAATTCTAATCTAGATTCAAAATTAAACAGATCATCGCATGAAATATTTCAACTTTGCCATGATTATCTAAACTTTAATAATTTTTAAGATAAAAAAAGTAATTCCATATATTACAATAACTATAAAAGTTTTGTTGTCTGTATAATTATTGCTTTGATGTTTCATACAAATGTGAATATTAATTGGCTTTGATAAACTGTAAAATTTGATCATAAAAAGACAAATAATTCATGAAAATGCCAAAATTTGTTTTATTAAAAAATTATAATTGATGCACTCATAAATTCCCTTTGACACTTATGAAAATTGACAATATGTCTTGACGATGCCTTAAATCTCCTATTACTCATCACATTTGCAAGTAAACGAAAAGTCGGTTAATTATTATGATAAAAGATGAAAAAGATTGAAAGGTCTCCCTCCAAAATATTTACATAAAATTATTATACCTAAATTCCGTCGATATTCGATAACATTATTACGACAATACTTTTCATAATCTCTATACACAACGTGCTTTCCTACTTTCCAGCATACATTACTTTATTACGTATTAACCATTTAATTCTAAATTTTAGCCGTAACCTGTTTCAGATCTCTTATGATACACACAACGCGACAGACATTTTGCTTTTCGTAAGCCTGATTAGACGACAGAAGTGACAACTCACAGAACTCAGACTTAAAAAGTTGAATAATGCAGTCAATGAAGATTAACATTAATAAATAAAAAAAAAAAAAAAAATCAATCAATAAACGATGTTGTTTGTTTTAGATAAATTACTTTATGTGTCTGACATACTAGTTAAAACTTTTTTATTTAACTCAACATCGAGATATAAGGACAAGTAAAGGTTATATAATGGTTGGTACAACTGAAGAAAGAAAAATGAGCGATTTTAAAACTTTATTTTGATATCAATTTTATTATTAAGTCTACAATAATAAGCATACCGTTATTAATAAGAACAGAAACGCACTTTTGTCCTTTTATAAACTCTTACATTCATATAATTCTGTTATAGTTTCAATAGAACTTTAATACTACGTATGCAATCCCAGTTCAGCTTTAATTATTATATAACGACATTAAAAAAAAAAAAAAAAAAAAAAAAAAAAAAAAAAACCACTTTTTAAAACATTTATTTCAATAATAAGAAATTTAGTAAAAAGAAACACAAGAAAAAAAAAAAATTTATTGACATTGTGGAGTTAATTTTAAACTTAATATAATTTTAAAGAACATTGACCGATGTAATAATTTGATTAAATAGTTAATATTAAATAATTAAATAGAATACAAATAATTTTCTGAATTTAACATACACTATCCCTATATATTACAATAATATATAATAGAAATCAAAAATAATCCAAATTGACATATTTCTTTTTTTTCAACCAATCAAATCGACATTTTAAAACAATATTACAAAATAAATGTTATTAATAAGAAAATTAACGTTAATACGATGAAATGTTTATATAATTAATATGTATTATATATTCGATAATATATATCATCATTTGAATAATAATAATCATTTGGATCAATTTGCATTTCTATGCACTGTTGTTTATAGATATAGCATTATATGATTTAAACGAATTAATTTATTTCTTCAACTTCCGATGGATCGCCACCTATGGCTTTCCAAAATGCTGTTACCAATTGTTCAGCCGCGACTCTTCTTTGATTTGAAGGCATTGACGCTGCGTGTTCTTTCATTGCTCTCAAGTGACAAAATAGTTCACCAAAATCTGCTCCTTCGTTGTTCATAATTCCATCTTCAAAATATTTAATTATACATACGGAATTTAATACACGATACATAAAAAGAAAACAAAACAAAAAACAAAACACAAAAAAAAAAAAAAAAAAAAAAAATTTCAATCAAACAACATTATCCAAATCCCTGCGAGTAGATTAATAGATTTTGTAAGCATAGCTTATAAATCTTACCCAAAACACTTTCCATTTGTAAACGTTCTGAAATATCTTGTGCATTGCTTAGGCAGACATTTTCTAATTGGTCACCAACTTCGTTCACTTCAAATTGTGATCCTTGAGTATTCTTTCTCGTGCCTAAAAATATTAATTTCAATTATTATTCGCAGTTATAGCGTCATTATATAATAAAAATTTAATGACAATTTTTTAGATTAATGTTTGGCCACATATGAGTTTCCAAAGCTTCGACGATTCGTTCGATTCCATATTTGCTTTGATCTTCTTCAAGCTCCATAATTTCTACAGGATCCGAATGCTCAAGTTCAATAAGTTCAAATTTTCTTAGCGCGCACCATTCTAACACTAAATTGATAAATTTTTAAAACTCATTATATTAATTATTAATATGCATAAATAAATATTCAATATTATAAAATCAATGGAGATAATTGCCTTGTTCTCGAACAGTTGCATTAGGAATAGAATTACAAACTAATAATAATATTTCTGCCTCTGATCGATCAAGTAGCGGCACAATTTGTTCAGACATGAGACGGAAGCTATCTCCCTAAAAAATTTAAACAGCATTAAAAAATGAATGCGCACTATGGTAAATAAAAAGATCTCACTGTTTCTAAATCATAATGAAATATTAATGCTTCAAAATTCGAAAGGTTTATCGATAGATTGTCGGTTGTGCATAATAAAATCTGAGCCGTGTAGTATTTATTGTCAATATCTAATAAATAAGTTTCCATGTCAGCTTGTTGTGATAAATACTTGGCTCCCATCTCTAAAGAAATATCAAATTGAAGATGTTGATTATTTTTTCATCAAAATTTGTTTAAAATTATAATACCAATTGTCACATACTACTTGCTATTTCTTTAGCCTTAGCACGTTTTGAGTTTGATATTAATACACGAGGCAAATTCATTTCTGCATTCATATTTTCCGCAGTATGAGCATTCATATCAACGGGACAATACTAATTATAATATTAATGAAACTCTGAATTGATCGTAATTGATCGTAATTTATAGGTTACCTTTCAATTGTATACAAATACGTATACGAATGGACATGTGTGCGTGCATGAGGGTGTCATATGTGTTGACATCTATCGAATCAATTCTATTCATAGAAAAATTAAGAGGAAAAAAACCAGTTGAATTATTTTAAAAATTTCTTTATTGAAATCAATGTTATTTATTAGGTGGCTATAAAATGATTTTTGTAAACATGTAAATTAATGTTTATATAAGATCCTTGTAATCTATATTTATTATAAATTTTAAACACATTTAGATAAAATAAAAGCAGTGTTTCAGCTTTGCACAAGCAATTCTCAAATAAAAGTTTAATAATTTATTTGTAAAATTCATGTTCCGATTCGTCCTTTTTGATGTTATTCTTGTAGCTTTTTTCAAAATCCTTGGCCAACACGATGTAGCGATTCTCGCGCACAGCATGCATTCCAGCTTCTTGGCAAATAGCATTAATATCTGCACCAGAAATTCTATCTGGACGAGCAACATAATCTTCAAGATCGACTTCTTCGCTCAAATTCATCTTAGTAGTGATGGTTGAGAAGATCAGTCGTTTTTGTCTCCGATCCGGAAGTGGAAATTCAATTTTACGATCCAATCTGCCTGGACGCAGCAAAGCAGGATCAAGAGTATCGGCTCTGAAATTCGAGATATCATTTAAGTAAGGTAAATAAAGATGGATATAATTTATATGATTATTTACCTGTTAGTAGCCATGATAACCTTGACATTAGTTGTCTGATCAAAACCATCCATTTGATTTAGCAGTTCCAGTAGAATACGTTGTACTTCACGATCGGCTCCTGTTTGAGCATCAAAACGCTTAGTTGCTATTGCATCAATTTCGTCAACAAAAATAATAGCCGGAGAATTTTCTTTAGCCAAACGAAAGACATCTCGTACCATTCTTGGACCTTCGCCGAGATACTTTTGAACAAATTCTGAGCCAACGACTCGAATGAAAGCGGCTGTCAAACAAAACAAAACATTAAAGTTTAGTTCCAAGGTAAATAAATATGCAGTAGAATTTTTTTTCTTAATTGAAGCATTATAGGAAGAATCGCATAAACCACTGTGAAATAAACGAATTTATATCAATGATAAAGTGATTACCTGTAGTGTGTCTAGCAACGGCTTTAGCAAGCATAGTCTTTCCACATCCTGGTGGACCATACATTAATACACCTCTTGGCGGATCGATACCAATTTGCTTATAAAGTTCAAAATGAGTTAATGGTAACTCCACAGCCTCTCTAATCTCCTGCTTCTGCATATCCATGCCTCCGATATCGCTGTATTGTATATCTGGCTTTTCATCTATCAATTATCAAACAAATTTCAATAATTATTTAATCAGGATCAAGACAGATATTTAATTAAAAAAAAAAAAATAAATAAATAAATAAATAAATTAATAATAATAATAATAATAATAATAATCCTTATAAAATATAAAATTATAAGACTAGATTATTAAGAGAAAATAATTACCAGCTTGAAGCATGGAGATACTAGAATCAGCCTCTGGTGGTAGAACGTCCACGAGTGCATTGCTATGTTTATGAAGAGCAACACTCGCCGAGGGTTTCAATAATTCTCTGTCAATGGTTGACAATATGCGGACATAATAATTAGAGCCTGTTGTAGAGCCGACGATTCCAGTATTTTGATCAACCGCTTCTAAAAATTGGCCGATCACCAACGGCACACTCTGTATGCGTTTTACTTCCTCTTGAGCATGTAAATATTCTTTTTTCAAGTTTCTCTGTTCATCTTTAATATATTCTTCTTGAACTTCCAAAAATTCAAGCATGCGTTGCAATTTCTTTAAGAACAAATTTCCCATCAGTCTTATAAATAAAAAGGGAGCTTAAAATAGCGCATCTTAATGCTGTACCTTATATTTAGTATAAAGATCTTCGACGTCCAATTCTTCAGCACCGCCAGAGCAATGACCAGTGGCTGGTTTAGAGTCAATTTCACACGTATCCTAAAATTTAGTTGTTACATATGATTTAGAAAAATCAAGGAGCTATCGGTACGAGCGAAATTATGTTTAATTATAATTATTGGATTAAGGAAAGAATTAATTGCCTTTAATTATTTGAATATCTAATAGATAGCGTACGCGAAAGCCCTAATATAACCATTAATTCATACGTAGCTTTTACCTACAATAAATAATCACATACTTTACATTTAATTGTTAGATACTTCGGTTAATTTACCTTATCTGGCAAAGTAATGCCGATCTCTTCCATTTTAATAAATTCGCGGACGTATGCAAGTTTTAAAAACTTTCCACCCAAATACGAGATCACGAATGACTTGAAGTTTTTAAGATTAATTACGGAGAAATTGATACTTAGTTCTTAGGTTAGCAGGATGTGTAAAGGATACTTTTCAAATAAAATGTCTCGTCCATTTGGGATGAGAGACGTTTGCAATTGGTTGATTTTCCGAGTTCACTGACGAATCAAATTGAAGGGAACATTGAAAATTTCTCGCACTGAAAGTAAAATAAAAACATGTTTAAATGTTCCTTCATATAGGATAAGCGGTGCTTTATTTTCGTTTAAGTAAGATAAATCCGTTAAAATGTTAATTAAATGAGAAATTGCCTTATTTATTATTTAATATTTGCTTTCCGCTAAACAAAAGCTAATACTTATCTCAAGCATTTATCGTGAGATATTAATTGTAATATTTTAGATAAGCTATTTGCATTGTATATAAAAATTATTTAACGGCAAATGTTTTGCAGTGAGCATTGTTTGGATAAACAAAAATAAATAAGAATGGTTTCTGAAGAGCTCAATACGGATATCGAACTGGCCTCAGAAGTTATACCGGTGCCCCAAATTCAACCCGAGGCCAAGGCTCTAAATGTCTTAAACGCTACTAACGAAGAATCAAATAATATTCATCATGGGAAAATACGACATAGGAAAAAAGCACTTCACGCCGCTATTCTTAAACAAATGGAGTTCTATTTTGGTGATTCAAATTTAAGCAAAGACAGATATCTTGCGGGACTTATTAAGAAGGAGCCAAGTGAGCTTTTCAATTTATTATACATATACAAATATGTACGATTGTGGAGATATTAAATTATTAATAATAATGTTTAAATAATTACAAACTTTTAGATATTGATCTAGAAGTGTTTTTAAGATTCAATAAAATTAGATCATTAACTACTGACGTTAATAGAATTATTAATGCGCTTAAAAAATCTACGATACTAAAAGTGTCCGAGGATGGTACCAAAGTTTTTCGCGTAACACCAATCGCAGAGAAACAAAATATTGATGAATGTACGGTGTATATTCAGAGATTGCCATCGGATGCCGATCACGAGTGGCTGACTACTCTTTTCTCCGAATATGGACCAGTTGCTTATGTGTCGATTCCAAAATTCAAATATAACCATAAAATTAAGGGCTTTGCATTTATCGAATTTGAAACACCAGAAGCTGCTGAGAAATGTTTAAAGGTATGTTTATATACGTGAAATTTAATTATTATAAATTTAAAATACAGTAAATACATAAATATACGAATAATAATATTTTCAGGCGTTTAGAGCAAAAGGTTGTGAATTACCGTCGCAAACCTCACCAATGGATGTCTTGAGCATTACAACTTATACAGAGGAAAATAAACAAGACGAGAACGATTTACATACTTTTCGAAAACCTAATGAAAATAATTATGATAGCAAAGTGAATGGAGATAATGTGCAAAAAGATAAGCCTTTGGAATATGAAAAGTCTAAAGTTAAGAGAAAAAGAAAAAAATCGATGAAAACAGATGATGCTGGTGATTCAGGAACCGATCAGTCGGATACGACAAAATCAAAAAAAAGAAAGAATACCGATAGTGATAAAGAATTAAATACATACCTTTCTGATTCAAATGTAGAAGACGAAAAGCGTGGTAAGAAACGAAAGAATAGATTATCTTTAGAAGAGATTCACGATTCGGGTAATGAATCACACAAAATTCTTAAAGAAAGCTGCAAAAAACAAAAAAAAATAAAATCTGAAGAGACTGTGCAAATCCCAATTCAAACAGAAAGTATAACAACTGAAGATAATAGAGAAATTGCTGAATATTCAAATGAAGAAGATCTATCCGATAAAAGAAAGAATCTTAAAGAAAGTTATAAAAAACAAAAAAAAATAAAAACCGAAGAAATTGAAGTGAAAATTGAACATGGATCCCTTAAAGCAGAGGCTGCCGACACATTAGATAACGAAGAGCCGGTTGAGTATTCAAACGGGGATGTATCCGAAAAGAAGAAAAAAAAGAAGAGAAAACGGAAACATCATGGTGCTTATGAAGTACTGGAAACTGCGGACATGGGATTACAAGTTATGGGTAAAAGAGATTGGAAAAAATTACGAAATAAATATTTAGAGCTTCAAAGATCAAAAATGAAACAGTTAAAGCAACATATGAGAAGAGCACGAAGGAATCAGTGGGGCGATAGAAATAAAATTGAAGTCGAACACGAGGAAAGTGTTGACAGTAAAAAAGAAAAACCAGCTTCAAATTTAGAATTCGTACCAGGTGTCATAGTAAAAGTGGAGTTCAACGAACCCTGTGTAGATGTCAAAGATTTCAAGGTATTTACAGTTTTGTAATATATATTGAATTTCTTTACTTGGATACAATATATTTTGACTTATAATTTTTGTATTTTATTTGTAGCTCGAACTTAAAAGTAATAGTAACATTAAATACATAGATATAAAAGAAGGCGCACACGAAGCTTTTATTCGATGCGACTCGTCAGAAGCTACGGCAACATTGGTACAAAAATCTAATGAAACCAAACATTTTACAGTGTTAACTGGTAAATATATGATAAATTTGTTAAAACCCACAATAATTAATTATACAATAATATATTTCATAAACATATAACTATAATCCTAGGAGATGAAGAGAAAAGTTATTGGGATAAGATTGTAAAGGATCGAGAAGAGAAAATTGGCAATAAAATTCGAGTAAAGCAAAGAGGACGTAATAAATTATTGAAAAAAGCCGAAAAAGAATTGGGAAAACACATTAAATTTGACGAAGTTTAAAATAAATTGATATTTAATTTATAATGATAAGTATGTATTATATTTCATCTGTCAAGCATATTAAACAATATGCTTTGATGACAATTATGAATAACAAAAGTTTTTTATTGAATTATAATTTACGTACAAAATCTTACATAAGCTTCGCTGTTATATTTTTTTAAGGCTTAATTAGTCGTCCATTTCAAGTTTTCGTTTGTCAATGTCTTATACTTTATCTCTGATATCTTGGCTCAGAATATACTGTCCCTTCGACATTCGGATAATAATTAATAATGTAATTGTCTCTTTGCACTACCATCTACTCCTTCCTTTAAAACCTCCTCCTCCTCCTCCTCCTCCTCCTCCTCCTCCTCCTCCTCCTCCTCCTCCTCCTCCTCCGCCGCCACCACCGCCACCGCCATACCCTCCTCGACCACTTCGGAATCCACCACCGCCACCGCCTCTGCCTCCAAAACCGTTTCCTCTGCCGCCGCCAAATCCGTTTCCTCTGCCGCCGCCGCCAAATCCTCCACCTCCGCCGCCTCTACCTCTGAAATTTCCGCCACTTCTAAAGCCCCCAAAGCCGCCGCCACGACCACCACCACCACCTCTTGAACCTCCGCGACCTCCACTTCGTCCTCCACGTCGTTCTGAACCAGGCGGTTTTGGAAGAAACCTTTCAAGGGGTAAAAGTTTTGCTGGATCTATATATAACTGAAATATTAAAATGCTATTATTACAGCGAATATAGTGTAATCCAACTTTGAATTTCACAATACTTCATCATAAATTTATTCACAAGTAGATAAATATTTATATTGTTTTTTCATTCTATTTCTATAATGTATAGAGATTTGAAGAAGAAAAAAATTATCTGTTAAAAATTGCTACAGCATTTACTTTAACAAATACTTTTTCATCTTTAAAATAACATAATATTTAATCTACAATGCTTATAAATAAAGTTTAAAAACAAATAGATAGAAAATTTATTGAATACCTTTGTATTTTTCTCAAAACTTGAAGCCTTGATATTCTCGGATAATTTAATAGAGACATAAAAATCCCTAATATTTCCAAATATTTCATCTATCTTTCCTATTTGTTGTTTGTTTTCTGTATAAATTGGTGCATTAAAGTAAGGAACATGTTCTATATCAACTTTGCCTACAAGGTCATCTTGAACTGCCCATTCGGAATGACATAAAGAAGTTATTTCTTCTGGTGGACCATAAGCAAATCTATAATACAATAAACGTTTAACAATTATTGTACAATCTGTTACGCTGAATGTAAGAAGCATTTTGGTTTTGAATAGTGCATTACACTTCAATTATTATGTTATCGAAGACTTATTATCCCATAGCTATAGATAATATAAAAGCCTTTTGATACAAACTTTAATTAAAAAATAAGTAATATTGAGTAAGTTTCATTTGAATAACTCCATCGACAAAATAATCTTCTACATAAACATAACAATGAAATTTTAAATAATAGTTTACTTTGGTCTTCGATCTCCACCTGCTCCTCGACCACCGCGTGAACCACCTCCACGTCCATTTCGAAAGTCTCCACCTCCTCCTCCACGACCGCGATATGACATGTTATAATAGAATTATCCTGAATAATAAATAATAATAATGTATCACTACATTTATCGACAACGAAAGATTTGAATTGAACAGAATAAAGAATGAGAAGATCGTGTTTCGGCTGTCTTAAAGTACAAGTATATATGTTAATGTTGTTATTATTTCATTATTATTATTTTAGTAACAATAGGCACTTAAGATGCAGGCCGGGAACCATGTGCCTAACCTCTTATACGTTAATTTTAATACGACCTTCCCGATGCTATACATTCAAATATAAAGTACTTTTTATTATATATTAAATGTCTCAAGTATAATACTAGTACTTTTATTGCATATTTGACATACTTAATACAGATCGAGGGAAAAATTAACTTTCAACGCCGCTAAGTATATGCTGCTGTGACACTAAACATAACCAAAACAGTAACTAAATGGAATGTTTTTTCAAAACGAACAGTGTAAGTTCATAAAGGTTATATCACACAGCCCGCGAGTCTATGAAAATTTTGCAAGAATATTTCCAAGTATATTTCCAATTGGTATGGTTCAAGCTAATTCATTAATGATGTCATAATGCAAGTAGCTTTCCGAGAAAGAATGCAATTTTATAAAGAATTTTAAGTTTATAAGAATTTTATAAAGAGACTGAACTTGAAATTGATATACAAGTTTATTAGTTTGAAATGAATGTATTATTACATTATACCATGTGCGTACAAATCACTTATAATTAAATATAATTCGTTTGATGTTTTTACGTCAGCTTAGAATATGATTAAATCTCATTTATATGACGAATTAAGCGAAATGAATCCTAATCTTATTGAACTTCAAAATCGTAATTATTCACGTAAATATTTACAAATAGAATTAATTGTATCTTTCGTCGTATAATTATCGTATAATTTATTTGTTGCCCGATAGATATAAAACTTGATGAAAAAGATGAAAAGAAGTAAATTATATTATATTTATAGCATCGATTATGTTAATAAATATTGTTATAATATAATAGAATGTAACGTTTATTAAATAATTTATTGCATTTCAATTTACTTAAATATTGAAAAATAACGCAAGATCATTTGATTTAAAATCAATATACGGGATAATAGACGAAAATGTTCATTTAATATACAATAGACATCTTAAATACTATTTTCTTATAAAATTTCTTTTTATTTAAAAAAAAAAGAAAAAGAAAAAAAAAGAAGAAAAAAAAAAAAGAAAAAGAAAATAATAATAAAACCAATTTTTCTTACAGTTATAAATAGAATTCATTCAATATATCAATCCTAATATATTTAATTTCTTCACTTTTTACCAGCATCCAATAACATTACAAATTTTAATTTAAAATTTTATTTAAATCAGATTATACTTTCTAGATTTTTTAAAACCACTTTTATTTAAGAAATATTACAAATGCTACTAAATAATGACGAATACAATTGAATTATTGAAATATCGGTTTTCTTACTTATTTTATACGTAAGCATTCAAACTTTAATGGCTATCGGATGCTGTAAAATCCTATTATTAAATTCACTTCCATGCGAAGAGTGTCGAATAAAATAATCGGTAAGTGCAACTGTATTTGGATGAAGATATTCGTTCAAGGAAATGTATTTCGGACCTCCGAACGTGTCCAGTACAGCGATCGTCTCAATTTTTAACTTGGCGAAGAAAAAATGATGATCTAAAATAATATTTTACATAATTATTATATGATTGATTAATAATTTTAATACTTTAGATGTACCTTCTGGCATGTGAGCTAGCCAAGGATGTCGTCCAAATATTGCGCTTTTTGCTGTTTGAAATTCAGGATTATCGTCTCTCACCTACAGAAAGTAGCTCATAATAACATATAATTTAATTCAAATAAGCAAAACGTGATATTTTATATAATTAAACTTTTATGACTTTATATATTCCTATTTTATTTGATCCATCACTTTCGTATCATTTTAAATGTAAATTCTATGCGAATTTTGAAATAAATTCATTATAATATTTTCTGAATTTATAAGGCCATTTAATCATATTTGCAATAAGAAACTTATGGAAAATTGCAGGAAAAGTAATTTCTAACAAACCGCCTGAGCCAATATCGCAGAAAAAGTACTTCACAGTACGAAATGAAAAACTTTATCATTTTATTAATAATATAAAGATATTTTGTTATAAAAGTAAATAATGAAAATATACCATTAATTGTTTTACAGTAATATGCTAAAATATTTTTGTTCATTCTTAATTATCGATATTTTCAAACAAAATATAGATTCTTTTTATATATATTTCTTCGATATATTTATGAACAATGGCATATGAATATATAATGTCGATGATTAACGATGCTTTATTATATAAGCATATTTTAAATTTATTTAAATAAAACTTATATATATATATATATATATTTATTTATTTATTTATTTTTAGTATAAAATTATTAAAATAATTATATATAATGTATGCGTATAGATCACGATATAAATGAAAAACTAACATTACCGATTTAATTTTTCCTGAAAAGACAACTCTAGAACAACGAGGATCCATTGGATCATAATTTTTTTCTTGGCAATAATGACCTTGGGCCAAGGTCATCATTAATGTGGCACGATTGTCTTTCTAAAAAATAAAGTATAAAACAATTATGTTATCAATTTTATCGGTCTTATCGTATTTAGTCTTATCAAGAGAATAAGAGGCGATTAATTAAATTGATATTTGAAATAGTAATAATGTATTGATGTGAGGTTGGTCTTATAAAAAAGGAATAATATAAATATTATTTGAGATTGAATGACATATTTCATTCATAAATAAATTAATAAAATAAAAATAAAAAATAAAATATAAATTGAAGTGGAAACTTTTAAACTTAGCATTTTTAGATGCTTTAGATTTAATTGATCAAGTTTGCAAAAATAGATGGCGAAATTAGATTAATTTTATTTAACAGTAATACAAACTCGTCATACTATGTGAATTTTGTGCAATTTACATTTGAAATGGACATTCAAGTAATGAATTTTTTTAATAAATACATGAACATGTTGTTTTATGACAACGATCGCCTGAATAATTGAATGACAACTTACGAAAACATCTTGAGCTGTAAAATCTAAGGGCGTCAAAAATATGTACGGGATACCGGTACCATTTCCAACTGGTCCATCGCTTAAGGAAACTATATTTACAAATGGATAACCTTTGGTATTTTTGCGCGAACTAATTGTTGATACAGATGTCCAATCTATAAAGGATACATTTTTCTTAGATTGCTTTAATGAATGCCTGCATTTTTGATTGTTACTTTTTTCAGATTTTCTTTAGAATAATAATAATTGATGCGTTTCTTTTGATTATTTTAATTCTCATTTGAAAAATTGATTTTATTATTTTCTCTACATGATAAAATAATTGAATTTCATAAACTTATGACATTTTTTTTCGCTAAAAATCACTATCCAGATCGTTTTAAATAAATAAAATGACACATGAGTTAATGATATATTTAAAACCGAATGAATACATAAGTTTTTAATTTATATTAATCGGTCTTCTATGATAATTATGATTAGAAATGATTAACTCGGACTGATTCATTTCGTTCTGTTAATATATATATATATATCGCCTAACTTAAGCAATTATAAATTATTTATGTAATTATGGAATCTTGTTAGCGTGTTCATCTCATATATAAAATATGGATAATATCAAGGGCGTATGAGTAGAGGATTAGCGAACAAATATCCAATACTGTCAACAACAAGTATTAACCAAACCTTCATGAATCTCTCGTCAACATCACTTAAACTATTTAATAGAATACCAGTCGATCAGCAAAAGGCAATAATATAATTAATTGCGTTACTTTGTTTTTATTTTTACTCTAATAAAAACGATTATTATGCTCCAAGAAAATATAATCTAGGCTACATCTACACCATAATCTCTACCCGCTGCTTTACTTTTAATACATGTTTTTAGTAAAGAAATTATTTTATCGTTCGACCTAAAAGCTTTAGCATTCTTAAAATAATAATTAATATACTTCAAGTAATTCATTTGATAATTTTTAATTAAAAGTAGAGTTTTAACATATTCAAATACAGAAAGTTCTGTTAATACTTATTATCTACATAAAATTTGAAATTTTCAATATGCTTATTTAATAAATATCTTGGATCATTATTGAATTAAATATTAACATCAACCTATATACGTCTCATTGATGTTATTTAAATTTATTAGTGATACTTTCGTAAAGTTGTATCGTAAAATAATTTTTTTTTTATATGTGCCTATGTATAACGCCAATAGATTAGCAAAATATTGTCAAAATTATCTATACATTATCAACTGTTTCTCATTGTATTCAAACATTATTCAAATTATCAACAATTAACGTATGAGCTTCTGTCTTATGACATTAATAAAAATAAAATTAATCAATTAATCTAATATGGATTATTAATATTTGGATGTAAGATAAAGTGAAATGTAGATTGAAAATAAATTTTTTAATCAAATGAAATAAGTAAAATGATTTAATGTAAATTTTGTAGATATAGCTCATATAATTCATATTGATGGATCAGAATGAAAATCAGTCGGTTAAATGCACTTTAAAATTATATACACAGTCGATTTAATTCATCTACGATCGCGAAGAAAATGATCGAGACTGATATTCATATAATGCCAAAAATGTTCGTGCCCCCCTACCCCGCTACCAATCATCAAGTCAACACGCAACCACGCACACGTCCAGAATAAAATTCCGTCGATTGCTTTATTATTATTATATTTTTGTTCCTGCAAACTCGCATCAATATATAACCTGATTAATATCATAATAAAATTGAGCTAAAAGGTATGATGTAACGACAATTTTATTAATAACAGATAAAGGGCCATAGGCGAGGCAATTTGAAGTGGAGTGCAGTGATATGATTGATGGATGATTGATTGATTGGCTGGCTGGCGAATTACAAGTGTAACGCACCGGCCTGATTGACGATATATCGAGCCATGAGGGCCACCTCGTCGATCGGCGGCGGATCCTGCAGCCTTAACTCGTCTCTCCTTCTCCAATACGGCACGTCCTTCCTCTCTCCGTTCAACCTCTTCCACGCCCGGAACTCCTGGAAGTCCCTGAATTCCTGCAAGTCCACGTACGAGGCCTTGGCCAAGGTTACGAGCAACAGCATAACGAGAGCGAGTCTCAAGGCCAGCTCCATCTTTCTGCGTCTTCCGTCGCGTGCACGAACAATTCTTTTCACTTGGTTGTCTGTTCGTCTGTGTGTGGCGGGGCGGGGGGGGCCGGGGGAAGGTTGGGGGGGGGGCGGATGGTTAGGTTTGCGATTAGAGCTCTTTGCGAGGATGAAATTCCGGACTTATTTATACTAAGGTGCATCGATACGTATAATGAGGCGTTTGACCTTCGTTAGACTAATATGTACAATGATATGAAATGTTACTTTAGCAGAAGCTAAATATATGACTTCAATTGGTGCTCATTTATCTACAGCCAATGAAGAAAGTATTTCCGTAAGAGTAACTATTTTTGTTTATCAATGCAGGTCAACCTCGAGCCTTTACACGTTTAATAGGCGTTTTTATTGTTCAGCCATTGTTTGTCAATTACTCTTCGTGAAATTTAGTTTGATATAGGTTTAAAACCTTAGCTTAATAAATATTTGAAATTTATAGTACCAAAGGGTTACACAAAAAGCTTATATCAGATTTGTGTCAAATAGGTAATTTTAATTTCAAATTTTTAATATTATAAAATTTATTGAAATCGTATATTTTGTATCACAAAAACAAAATGTGAGACTTAATAAACATATTGTAATGCTTCGAGTTGATTATATACAACATTATTATTCATTTTTATATTATTAGATATTTGTACACTTTATGTTTGAAAAACTACTTTCACATTTTATTCCAATTGTATGGCAATCTTAATTAAAAAATATGTTCAACTAATTACATTTGACTATGACTTTCGGAATCTTTTATTTTTTATTTCTCTCTCTCTCTCTCTCTCTCTCTCTCTCTATATATATATATATATATATATATATATATATATAATACCGAATGAAATGTGGATATTTTAAATACAAAAAGACGACATTAATATCAATGATACTTCAATAGTTATCAAGTATCAAATACTTGTACTGA